TGATAGCTGGCTCCCACTAAAACTGTTCTTGCGACCACGCTAACTAATGGGCTGCACAGCCTACTGCATGGCACCAATTATTTTAATTAAGGGCCTTATTAATACCGTTACTATTACCTATGCGAACCTGTGTTCCACCTCAGTGCAGAGCTAAGGATGTAATGGTGTTTTGTACAAAACTAAAGAAGCCTCCCAGTACCCATTCAGAAAAGGACCAGAGTTTTATCCAGTATACAAACCAGGAGACTGTGAGATCAAGACTATACAGTTTACTTCAATGAAATGGTAGCAAAGAGCCAAGAATACTGGACAGGACTCATATTTAGCTGCTGGACTATCTATGATGTTAAATCATTGTTTCTCACAGGGAAGGCAGACATGCACTCACAAGAAAAGCTGTGTGCAGGAAAGAGAGTTATGAAAGTATTCACACACTCTCTCAAAAGAGTTAGCTAACTGACAAAAATATGCTGCTGTAACATATTTTCATGTGTAGGTAGCAATTCTTTTCTACGTCCCAGGGCTGGAATCCTGTGTGGAGAAAACTGAACTGCTCAGTACATGTAAAAGACAGGCCTCATTAAGTCTTAGACATCTTCTCATTTCTTGGTCATAAATCCTATTACCTTGTATTACAAACTGCCATAAAACTCACAGATAAAAGATAATTTATGCTCAGTGTACAGAAGCTAATGTTTCTGTACTCCTGAGAAGCACACAACCAGAAAATGAGAAAGTATGTATGTGAAACCTTAAGCCATTCATATTGAACATGACTAGCATGATAAACATGACTCTAAGGGCCTAATGCTCTTCAGCCAGGGTATATTCTAATGGTAATTGATATTACCAAGATTCCAAGCATAAAATGTACAGATTGTTGCATAGAATATCTTGCATATAAGGACTGATTACTCCTTATTAAGAATTCATGCTTTCCTCCCTCCCCCACTACAGAAAGTAGTATGATGGCTATCCAGAACAGAGAGACTTTTTTTCTTTTTTTTCCTTTTTTTCTTTAAAATCCAATCATCACATTAGAAAATGCTTCAGGCCAAGCATCACCTCCTGGCATTCTTACACAGTTTCCCTATTTCTGACTCCTGCTTTTGGACTTGGCACTGATTTTAACTGGGGTGCTGATCTGCTAAAGGAAATATTTTGTTTTAATGAACACTGAGCAAAAGATGCATTTCATTTAGGTTGCTTGTCATTAGTTTTCCTTTCCCATCCAGATGACAGAAAATCTTTCACTGTCAACTAAAACTTCTGTAGTTACAAACTATGCTCTCATTGCTTACACCCTTTGTAATGGATGGAAACCTAGATGAGAGTTGATTCCCTCTCATGACTGAGAGGCATAACAGAGTACGTTTTTTGTCACATTTATTCAGCATAGTATAAATATTTACATTCATTGGGACTGTATTCTGAAAGAGACAGGAAAAGAGAGGTGTGTAGCTGTTCTATGACCTTCACACTTGGCTGCACTGGGGCCCTGGACAACGCTCTCAGGGTGGACAACGGTGAGATCATGGGAAACTGCACAGCCCCATGAGTAAACAATCAGAGATCTGGCATAAAGCCGGTTGTGTCTGTAAGGGAATAAAAGCAGGACCCTCTTGTGGCTATGATAAAAGCCTCACCTACAGGTGGATGCACCACACAGGGACTTTCCAGTTAGCTGAGACTCCTGGCACTGGCTGCAACGGGTCTTCCCAGCTACAAGTGTGGGCCTGGATGATGCTTTAGTGGTAATCAGTGATGTATTTCTTCTTAATCTCTGTTCTCTCTACACAGTAATGATTTAACACATTGCCAACTTTCTTTGGTATTTCACTCACATACCTCTATCTCTGATTTGCTTTATTGTACTTATTCACTATGTACAGAGAGATGTTTACTTCATCCACATTAGTGTGCTTGCTTTAATGTGCTTATTGGCTTTAGTGTGCTCGTATAATAAATTGTGCATGTTATACAGGTAGTGTGTGGTCACTTTGTGGTGCACCCTGCCTGTCAGCAAAACACCCTTTCACAGGAGCACCTACTTTCACACCTACTTTCTTTTTTTAATACTTGTTAAGTAATTTGACCGATACTGGAATTCGTTTATCTAAACTTAGATACCTACAATGTATTTCTATCTCGATCCCAGCCTACCACCCAGTCTCTCCACAGAGACAAGTATTTAAGGGGTGTAATAATTCCCACCTTTTTTCTCTTCTCCATCTCTCGGCATAGTTCATCCTTACAGGTCAGAAATGAATATAGAAATTTACTTCCTTCTAGTTTTCTTCACTTTCCATGCCAAAACATTTTTATCAATATCTTTCAAAAACTTGCACTGTCTGTGTCTATTTTCCAAGAAATGCCTTAGTACTCAACATGCCCTTCATTCAGTACTTGGCTAACTGTAGTGACTGATGAAAAAAGGACTTGCTTTACCTGGTGCTGCTTGGTTGGTAGGCTTCAATGGATCCCAAATCAGGCACTGTCCTTACTGTCTTCCTCTAGCACCCCAAATTCTTTTCAGTACGTCTATAAGCCTGTTCCCTACAACGGTGTGGACCCTTCACAAGTGTGTTAAAAAATGATCTATTTCTTCTGCTGTATCGCTCTATATCAATATTGTAGTAATATAAAATAGCTCTCTTTCAAAGTGACTGCTTATTAGATTTTCTGGTGTACTTAGAAACCCACTCAAACTGTCCTCATCTTAGTTTCTGCATTAGGACCAAAAACTTTAGCAGCTTGAGTGGCTATTCTCCTTTGTATCCTTCCTAGGGCTTTCATGGGATTACCGGTTTATCTTCTCGGTACAAATGTTTTAGCCTCTGGCTAGGCACACATCATAGAGAACCAATAATAGTCTTTCAATATAGAAAACGGAGGGCTAACGTTATTTCGAAGCAAAACCATGGCTATATTTTGCTCATATATTTTATGCAAAGAAACAAAAAATGATCAAATTCTTCTTTCCCCAAGAGAGAAAAGTTTCAGATCTACATTTTAGAGTAAAAGAAACATGCTCTTAACTTCACCATTTGTATTAGCATTTGAATCTCAAAACTTTGCTTCATTGGTTGCAGTTCCCAGACTTGCATTTCAAAAAGCAAGTGGGTCTCTCATTGTGTTCAGCTCCCCCCTACCTTGATTTTAGATTATAAAGGAGAGAGAGGAAGAAGAGAGAATATCTTGATTGTAGTTGTTTATAAGAGAAAAATACCACACTGATGTCCACACAAAGAGTACTTTCAAGTTTAGGATCCTCATTTCTTTCTGTGTATAAAATACTCACTTGATTTTTATCTAAACTATGCAGGAATAATGTTATTATCTGGAGGTACCACAACAATTGACTGAAGATGCTGACAGTGACAAGTTTAAACCAAGAACAGAAAGCAATTCTGTGTCAAAGTTGGCATTAAGGTTGTTGAAACAGTCTGCCCCCTTTATCTTCCCCTTATTTCCATACACTAGAAAGAGCCTGAAACTACAGAAGTTGGTTAACGGCAATGCAGAACGCCAGCCAGGAATGGCAGGGAAAATTCATACTCTGGGGAACATTCCCCATCAACAATAAACTATTAAATGCTTCTCATACAGCATTATTAAAAACAGATCATAAAGAAGTTTCCAGCAAGCCCAAACAATTAGCAACCTCCCATTCCCATTTCAATGCACAAATCATAATATTTTCTTTTCCAAGTCACAAAGGATTGAATTCTTCATTCAAGACCCTTCTGAAAGCAACTTCAGGCATGGCATTATAAAGCCTCTTATGGAAAAGATGAATGAAAAGAGTTAAGTCTTTCCAATTCAAGTGAATTGTAAGCTAAATTGGCAAATCACCATCTTGCTTTATTTTTTCGGTATCTTCTTAAAAACATTCTAAAATTATTTTACAGTGGTCAGTGGAGTTCTGCACCCACAAATCAATCACAAGCGAGTTACTCTTCACTTTCAGATTTTAACCACAGTTATCCTTAAGTCCTCTTTCTCCCCCACTCTGCTGCCTCTATCCATTTTGTGCAAGTAATGATCAGAGCCACTCCTCATCTTGCTGCTAAATGAGCTCCTGTATCTACCATCTTTCCTGCAGATGCAGTGCTTCAAAGTTGTTAATACACCATCTGCCCCCTTGGATTAATATCTGTAATCTCACAGAACCTTATTAATGCTTTTCTCAAATTACAATGAGGTGTGGTGCAGGGTTTTGTCAAATTTATCAGTGAATATTATTTGTTTTAATGAAATAACCTTTCCAAGATAAAATGGGAAAGTTAGTTAAGCTTCTAGAAACCCTGACATCAGGAAAAGATACTTACAAATAAACAAATGAATCACTGTTAGAAAGGACTCTTTGATGCTGAGATTTGCCTTTAATGTAAATCTTAAAAGGGGAAGCCCAGCAAGATCTTTTGCGTGTGTTGTTTTATGAATTAATAAATGGAATAACAGACCTGAAAACTTGCAAAAATAACACGTATTAAATAAATTCCCCTGTTGATGGTAGCTGGATTCCCATCATAATGAACTGCACCACTAGGACCCCATAAGATCTCTGCCTGATAAGTTTGTCAGGAATTCCCTCTTATATCTTTCTTTTGTTACATCAGACATCCTTACTGCTACTCAACATTGCTACTCAACATGCAAAAGTACTGTGTGCTAATTTTAAACTTACTGGAATCCAATTTAAAAGTTTTGGGTTCTGTTTTTCATTTATAATCAAAATCCTATATTTACCCAAACTGAGGTTTCATACTTTCTGGATTCTTGCTCCCCCCCCCTTTTAAACAAATCTCTCTTGAACAAATTAAACACAGTCCTTTTCAAGGCAGCAATGCAGAGCCCATCATTTGCTGTCCACTTCCCCGCAATATTTTCTGTATTTACGCTCTGACCCTAGAGAATACAATTAAGTAAATGACCTACAGGGTCAGCATAGGTGGAGGGGTCAGTTTTATTATGAAGGAGCTTTTCATAACACTTACAGGTTGAAGCAGGTAAATTAGTGAGCACTCCTGGATAACTACCACTGGCAAAGGCGTGATTTTTGTTGCATGAAAAAGCGTTTCCACTGATGCCATTATTTGGTCAAAGCGTCCTCCGAGTCCACCCAAAGTCACAATCACATCGATCTAAAAGACAAAACAAGAACATTCACTGACAAAACTTTCAGGTGTGATCTCTAAACCCTGAAAATCAACAATAAAATCACTTTGGGGAAAAAAGTAGAAAAAAATAACTACTGGCTTTACAAAAGCAGATGTCAAATACAGTTATTTACTCCCATTACTGATAAATACCATTATGTCAGTTCTGAGGCTAAGTATTAAAGCTCAGTACGTTCATGGCCAACATGTGGTGCTTTTATAAAGTACATAACTGTTCTCTCTAAAATAGAAGCCAGTCTTTCTTTGCATGTACTTAACTGTCTGCCCTGATTATGCAGAGCCTATGATACATCACTCCACACCTAAGCTCCTCAACCACATGTGGTGTATCTAAGCCTTAGTATCCCCACATCTTAACATCATTTCTGTATTGTCACTGCTTACAAAGCGAACAAAGGAAATTTCAGATCAGGGCCATTGTATGCCGTTCTCCTCAAAGCATTTTAATGTGCAAGCACTTCCACTCACAGGCTGGCTCTAGTCAAGACTAAAAGTACTACTGAAGTAGGAGGTTCCACTCCAAGCAACTAGGACATCATCTCTACCCAGCTACTTGCACTAGACCAAGGGGTAGGACTGCTGCTGCTTCATTTCCCTTATCAAGACTCTAAATACTTTATTTCCTATAAGCAGAAAGGGAGTGTTTAAAAGCCTTGATTAAGAGTTTTCGGGTCCTCAGATAAAAGGTCACTGAGGGCAAAGTATTATTATTATTACTACTTCCATAATGTGAATCAGTTATGTTCAGTAATTGTGTTTTAAAAAGCTACCACTGATGAAGCCGTATCTAGAGCCCTAACACATTGCAGCTCTAAAGTCTTTAGAAGCTGCCTTGACAATGGCCATCTGGTGAAGTTTCCAACTTTATGGGGCTTAAGTCTATGGCTACTGTGATTACATGAAGTTTTACTCAACCCAGGAGCCACATAATGGTGCTCTGTGTAGCTGCAATGATATATTAATAGCATCAGCTTCTATTTTTATTACCAGGGCTAGAGCTTTATGATTCTGTTGAATATTGGTTTGCATGAAAATTAACCTCTCTTCCTTTTTGTGAAGAATTATACCATCTTTCTCAGTACCACCAGGAAAATACTTGAGAAACCAGAATGGATCAACATAACACATTGTATTAGCAGCAAACACTAAAACAAACTATTCTTGTACTGCAAACAGTATGTATTTTCTGTGCAGCTTACAGATGACGCAGACCTAACATGCAACCAGTAGAATAGAAACGGTAGGAATACGTATCCTTAAACAGAAGACAAAAGAGCAAGAGCAAAAAAGCATGTGTTCTCAGCTAAACCATAATACATTATCTGTTTTATTGATTCCAGTGTAGAAATAAACTGCTTTTGTTTGACTGGTGATGACTGTGATTTAAAAGGATGAATCAATTCTTGAAAATACTACTAAAAAGTCCCACCAACACCAGTTCCCTACCATACAATCAGCAGTAAAAACGCCCCCGACCCCAACAGAGGCCATGGGGAAAATCTGCTATGTTAACCTGGAACCACAGTGAAGTTAAAATAGTTCTGCACAGGCTCAGAATCCACATGTATGTTGTTTTTCTTGTGACCAATGAGACTTAAGCTTAAATATTAACCTAGCCCAGTCTTCAAAAAGCTGAGCAACTACTGTATAATTTCCTAGTATGCATGTCTCACCACACATGAACTTGTTTGTTTTGGCTTTGACATTTTCTACAGTTTAAAAGGTAAGGATGAAGGAAACACAGAATTCTGCCTGATCTGTAATTAAAATGGTGCAATAACATTCTGAGTGTGTCTTATTTTCTTTATAAAACTGCCAGTATGTCAGAAAAATCCTGTTCTGTTATTCACACATGTGTACTTATTGAGAAGTACAGGGCGTATCTCAAACAATGAAGTGTTCAGTGACTGCAGTTTTTTTCTGATAGATTGCCACAGTACTGCATGTTGAAGAAAAGTCCTACTCCTTATTCAACAGCAACAGGGAAGTGAGTTGTTTTCCAAAAGTAAAAAAAATAAAATCAACCTAGCACGGAGTAGATCTATTGAAAAGGTATTCATAGAGCAGAGATTTGGGGTTGTGGTGTTGGAAGAAAGCTACTAAAAGCATCTGAAGAGGGAATGTAGTATTATTTAGGGTTTGCATGGATTATGAAAATGGAAAATACGACGTCAGGTTCACAAACAAACCCACCTGAAGTACAAGAGAAGCAGGCAGAGAAGAAAGCTAAAGTTCTGCACGTCAGGTTGACAGTCCTGCCCTTCACTCAGTAGTCTTGGCAGCAGTGACAGGCATCCTGACATTGTAAGATTTTTAAAGCCTCTATTTGAAGGTCTAGGTATACACACTATGTTTATTTAGCAAAAAAAAAAACAAACAACACAGAGAGACTAAGGCTAACAAAAACCTTGAGAACCTTTTCATCCGAAAGCTATCAGCTCCGTTAAAAAACAAACACAACACAAAACTGACAAACTAACCAGAAAACCAGCTCCTTCCCTGAAATCACTGCTCCTCTCTGCCATGTGCTTAAGAAAACAGATGTGCCATGAAAGCACATACACATCTTTTGGTCATTCTAGAACCTAAGACAGAGCAAATACCAAAGCACAGGACATGTATATATTCCCACACTACAGAGAGCAAAACGCATTTGTTTTTCTACTATGATTTCCTGTATAACACAGACTACAGAATTATAGTGCTACTGCTAATCAGCCCAGCAGGTAGCATTTGACTAACACACTGTACTTCAATTGAAATGTCCATGCCTCACTTAAATGTCCTGTCATCAGTGCCTTTACACAATTTGTTTTCACACAGTGTCACTCATATCCTGAAAACAAAAGGTTATAAAATCCTAAATAACTACAAAGAGTAGCTTGGATCATTGCAAGCACAGTGTAAAAGGCAACATATTCTCTTAGACTATCTATATATAACCTGACTTAAACATATTGCACAGCATCTTTAATAGCTATCAAGCTTTAATTTAGAAAGAGTTGAAGATTTAAGAGTGGAATTCAATCATCTTTAAATGATACACTTACGCATTACAATCTCCTGAAAGAGTTTTAGAAGTCACTACTAAACAGCAGGGCTGTTTGGAAGGAGAATGGAAGCATTTAAAAAGACACTGAGATGGCAATTCAGTGATGTATTTTTTCCTTCTCCTCTAATCTATAATCTAGAGTGCAGTAACCAAGGGGAGCTAATGAGCATCACATCAGAATGAAGTTGTCTAGGTTCCTGCTTCTACTCTCACAGAGATTACTGAAATAAGACAACTTGCTGCACAGTGCTTGCAGGCTTGCTAAATGCTGTCTTTCTCCCAAAACTGGTCCATGTGGCATTCCTTCTTCTGGCATGGATGGCTTAAATACAAAGAAGATTTCCAGTATAGGAATGAGGAAGGTTTATCTAAGGAGAATGGTGAAAGGACACAGGAAGCTGGGAACTGCCTGGGGTGAGTGAAAACATTGCAGGATCTAGCACTGCAATGTCAGCAACACCATGACATCTAAGAGCGAAGTCCAAGGCTGGAACTGACAGCAAAGTATGCCCCTTCTTTTCAAAACTAGCAAGAAGTCCTTTCCCCAGGGTGTGGGTAAGGCTCTGGACAGACAAGTTGAAGGACTTTCTTCCACGTCAGCGCGGTTTCAGCCAGAAAACTTGCAAATAAATATGCCTAAGCGTCAGGTGGGTTGGTTAAAGGGAATGCATTTACTGACAACAACCAGCTGGATGAATTGTGAAACAGACCTTCCCTAAAGGAAAAAGGGAAGGCAACAGTAATCAAGGTGCTGTAAAAGCTCTGGAGCCATGAACAAACCCGCCCTCCCTGTGAGACCATCCACTGCTAATACCTAAGATACGCCAATTACAGATCAGATGTTGTTATCTGCTTTAACCATAGCTTCCTTTCATCACTTTCTCACTTCACTGGTATCTTTTCACCTTTCACAGCCTTTCTGAATTCCCTGCCATTCACAGGCCTATTCCTTTAATTTAAAGTTTTAAGGAAATATGATATAGAAAATAAAATTATTGTAGTAACATGCACTGAAGTGTATTAGATGCTGAGATATATACTGAAGTATATGCTGAAAAACAATTAAGCAGTAGTGTGAACGCTATCATTATTACTGCTTTATCATTTTGACACTTATCAATTTTGACCAGTCTACAAGAAAAGTGTATTTTCCTTCAGAAGGCACTTTTGTCAACTCAAGATGTGGTTTGAAAATCTGGACGTATGCTTTCTGGTCTCTGCCTTAGCTTCACTACTGAACACTTTAAAATACAGCAAGCACTTTCCTTGATAACAAATGAGCCAGATTAGATTTCAGCTCATTCTCTCATAGTTGTATTAGAGCTCTTGTGCTGGTCAGGTCACATATTTTTTTATATCATCCACAAAATAGCAATGTAAATTTTATGAACTATTAAAATCCCACAACCCAATAAATATATAGCAAGATATTGCCCATTTTAGTTGATTATACTGGTCTGCTAGCTCAGGGTTTTATGTAAAGGTCTGGCATTCACTTCCTACAGGAAGGATATGCCCAGCCACACAGCAGCATCTGAACTTTGCTCAGGTAGAACCCTCTTTAGCCAGAATTTACTTGTGGCTTCAGTCTTCTATCTCTTCATAGGAACAAGAGCTCTCAGCTAAAGGCTGCCATTCTGTCCATGCACCTGAGCTGATAACCTTTAATTAGCTTCCTCGTCACTTCACTGATTCCACTAATCTTTATATTGTACCAGCTCTACAAAATCCATGTGAACTGCTCAACCACAAGCAATCTGGATTTGACTGCCTGGTCTTGTGCTGAATATTCCTAGATGGCCTTGATCAAACAGGACTCCTTGGGCTTCAGAGCAGGGACAGCAATTAACTCCCACTCTACTACAGCCAATCAGCTGGAGCACAGCTTTACAACTGATGCTGCATCTGAGAT